AAGTAGATATTTTCTATTTTTGTGATACAAATTTCCCGTTTTCCATGATAATCTATTTTGAAAATTTGATTTATTTTACCAATTTTTTGTTGTTTTTTTGGTGTTTTTTTTTGGGGTGTTTTCTTTCGGAAAGTAGACATTTCCCATTTTTATGATACAAATTTCCCGTTTTCTATGATAATCTACTTCGCAAAATTAGGTAATATTTCCACCAAAATTCGAAAATCTACTTACTCGAAAAGTATAAAATCTATCTAGTTTTCGGGAAAATAGATAACCAACTTTCCCTGAAAGTAGATATTTCCCATTTTTTATGATACAAATTTCCCGTTTTCTATGATAATCTACTTCGCAAAATTAGGTATATTTCCCCCAAAATTCGAAAATCTACTTCCCCAAAAAAATCGATAATCTACTTTCCTGAAAAGTAGAAAATCTATCTACTTTTCGGGAAAGTAGATAACCAACTTTCCCGGAAAATAAATATTTCCCATTTTTTATGATACAAATTTCCCGTTTTCTATGATAATCTACTTCGCAAAGTTAGATAATATTTCCCCCCAAATTCGAAAATCTACTTCCCCGAAAAGTCGATAATCTACTTTCCCGAAAAGTAGAAAATCTATCTACTTATCGGGAAAGTAGATAACCAACTTTCCCGGAAAGTAGATATTTTCTATTTTTAATGATACAAATTTCCCGTTTTCTTTGATAATCTACTTCGCAAAATTAGGTAATATTTCCCCCCAAATTCGAAAATCTATTTCCCCGAAAAGTCGATAATCTACTTTCCCGAAAAGTAGATATATTTTCTACTTTTCGGGAAAGTAGATAACCAACTTTCCCGGAAAGTAGATATTTTCTATTTTTAATGTTACAAATTTCCCGTTTTCCATGATAATCTACTTCGCAAAATTAGGTAATATTTCCACCAAAATTCGAAAATCTACTTCCCCGAAAAGTCGATAATCTACTTTCCCGAAAAGTAGAAAATATATCTACTTTTCGGGAAAGTAGATAACCAACTTTCCCGGAAAGTAGATATTTTCTATTTTTAATGTTACAAATTTCCCGTTTTCCATGATAATCTACTTCGCAAAATTAGGTAATATTTCCCTCAAAATTCGAAAATTTACTTCCCCGAAAAGTCGATAATCTACTTTCCCGAAAAGAAGAAAATCTATCTACTTTTCGGGAAAGTAGATAATCAACTTTCCCGGAAAGTAGATATTTCCCATTTTTTATGATACAAATTTCTTGTTTTCTATGATAATCTACTTCGCAAAATTAGGTAATATTTCCCCCAAAATTCGAAAATCTACTTCCCCGATAAGTCGATAATCTACTTTCCCGAAAAGTAGAAAATCTATCTACGTTTCGGGAAAGTAGATAACCAACTTTCCCGGAAAGTAGATATTTCCCATTTTTTATGATACATATTTCTTGTTTTCTATGATAATCTACTTCGCAAAATTAGGTAATATTTCCCCCAAAATTCGAAAATCTACTTCCCCGATAAATCGATAATCTACTTTCCCGAAAAGTAGAAAATCTATCTACTTTTCGGGAAAGTAGATAACCAACTTTCCCGGAAAGTAGATATTTCCCATTTTTTATGATACAAATTTCCCGTTTTCTTTGATAATCTACTTCGCAAAATTTGGTAATATTTCCCCCAAAATTCGAAAATCTACTTCCCCGAAAAATCGATAATCTACTTTCCCGAAAAGTAGAAAATCTATCTAGTTTTCGGGAAAGTAGATAACCAACTTTCCCGGAAAGTAGATATTTCCCATTTTTTATGATACAAATTTCCCGTTTTCTATGATAATCTACTTCGCAAAATTAGGTAATATTTCCCCCAAAATTCGAAAATCTACTTCCCCGAAAATTCGATAATCTACTTTCCCGAAAAGTAGAAAATCTATCTACTTTTCGGGAAAGTAGATAACCAACATTCCCGGAACATACATATTTCCCATTTTTTATGATACAAATTTCCCGTTTTCTATGATAATCTACTTCGCAAAAATTAGGTAATATTTCCCCAAAAATTCGAAAATCTATTTCCCCGTAAAAACAAGTAAACCTAACAGAAAGGCACAGTCTTTCAATTAAAAGTAAGTTTTCTGTGAAAGAAATAAAACTAACAAAGATACACTGTATTTCATCTAAAAGTGTTTTTTGTGAAAAGAAGTAAAACTAACTTCAAAACAACGTTTTAAACAGAAAACAGGCCTTATCGTTGAAAAGAAGTATAATTGATTACAAAACAGTTTTTGAAAAGAAATTGGGTGCTTTCCGTGAAAAGAAGTAAAACTGATTAAATGCATTTCTTTTTATCAAAAAGTGAGTGTTTTTTGTGTATAGAAGTAAAACTAACTAAATACACTGCTTTTCATCTAATCAAAATTCGAAAATCTATTTCCCCGAAGAGTCGATAATCTACTTTCGAAAAGTAGAAAAATCTATCTACTTTTCAGGAAAGTAGGCTCAACCAACTTTCGGAAAGTAGATATTTCCCCGTTTTTATGATACAAATTTTCCCGTTTCTATGATAATCTACTTCGGAAGAATTAGGTAATATTTTAAAGTCGATAATCTACTTCCCCAAAAAGTCGATAATCTACTTTCCCGAAAAGTAGATAATCTACTTTTCGGGAAAGTAGATAACCAACTTTCCCGGAAAGTAGATATTTCCCATTTTCTGTGATACAAATTTCCCGTTTTCTATGATAATCTACTTCGGAAAATTAGGTAATATTTCCCCAAAAGTCGATAATCTACTTTCCGAGAAAGTTGGTTTATCTACTTTCCCGTAAGTTATTTTTTTCTCGTAAGTTTGAACTTACACTTTTTTCTCTTAACGTTCGAACTTACAATTTTTTTCTCTTAAGTTCGAACTTACGATAATTAGAAAGATCGTAAGTTAATTTGTTCTCTTAAGTTCGTTTTTACGAGAATACGAACTTCCAGGGTTACAGAGCCTGTGGAGGTCGAGGATATATAGAGTGGAGTGTAAAGGTTGAAAGAGTGAGGTAAAGGAGAATGGTGGGGGTTGATGTGTGGAGGGGGTAGAGTGAGGTGTAGAGTAGAGGTGGGGTGTGGAGGTAGGGGGGAGGTAGAAGTGAAGGATGATGTGGAGGGTAGGGGTATAGAGGAAGAGGAGGGTGGGGGTATAGAGGAGGAGGGTGGGGTGAAGAGGTATATGTGGGTGGGGTGTAGAGGTGGAGGGTGGGGTGAAGAGGTATAGGTGGAGGGTGGGGTGTAGAGGTTGAGGATGGGGTGTAGAGGTGGAGTGTGGGGGGTAAGGGTAAAGAGAAGGAGGGTGGGGTATAGAGGAGGAGGGTTGGTCAAGAGGTATAGGTGGAGGGTGGGGGTAAGGGTATAGAGGAGGAGGGTTGGGTGCAAAACACTAGGGATCGTTTTGAAGTTAAAGGTTATGTTACGTTTGGTTTGGTTTGGTTTGCACTTTTGTCTGAAAGTTCACCTCGTGATGTTTCCCTGTTTAAAGGTTGATATTAATGTTTTCAGTTGATAAGAATGTTTCAACATTTTTGTTTTACTTGCTGTAAGGTTGGTCCACTTAAATTCGTACAACGTTCTTCTTGTCCCACAAGTTATGATGTTTTGCCAGAGTTAAACTTACCTGTAGCTGATGGTTTACTTTGACCCTTTTGGTGGCGGGTTGGTTTGTCTTCAGAAACACCTAAATCATTTAATCAATTATTCCCTTCGACTTGCCCGTGACCTGAACCTCCTTAACTAAGGCGTTTACACCGAGGAAAGGATACCTTTAAAAAAAGGAAAATGAAACTCATATAAAAGCTGTAACTTTGTGTATTTAACCCAATTTCTTATAATCATTATAGACTTTTTGTGATTACAATGAAGAGTCCTCGCCCTCACTTGCCCCGGGTAGAGGAGGGTTGAGTTTGGAAAGGGAAATTGTGTGGAAAGGGGAATGGAGGTTAGTTTTAAGTGAGACTTCGTATCCCAACAACTGGATGTGAAAATGGTCGAGACATTATCAAAATATTTTTTTTTGTGGACTTTCATCAGCAAATTGTCTCAAAATACACTCTAGACTATGTTAAAACACCAGGCCAGCACTAAGCCTGACCAGCAGAAATAGCGCATCTTTTATTTATAAACATTGGATATTTGAATCTTAGTGGGCAATCGCGTTTCCGCTGGGAGGCCTAAGCTTGACTTCTAATTTAAGGTACTGTATAGGGTATTTGGGGGACGTTAAAGTTGTCTTGAAGGGTAGGGGGATACGGGGGCATGTGAGAGGAGGGCACAATATTACGTGGGCAGCGCGCCTGGACTGTTTATCCAAGACTGACGGGACCAAAATAGATCATCCCTGTACATCTGACAACCACGAGTGAGCGTCGGGCAGTGTGGAATGATTGGGTAAACCAGTGACGTCACCAGCGACTTCTCCATGGTTTAAAAAAAATGATTCGACAATTGACTGTAAATGCAATTCTAAAATAATCAACAAAATTTTTACACCAATACAAAATATACTGCATAATTATATAACAATGTCAATATTCTAGAAATGTTTAATACCAAATGTGGACAATAGATAAGCGATATATAGTACAAACATTCACAGATGAGTTGTCGCTGGCAGCTCCACTAACGATAGACTTGTTACTGTACAGCCCTAACGTAAACAATCTACTTGTTTCCTAAACGCTACATTATGACTTCGATGTTTAACAGTCCGCCGATCCCCATTCGTGGTTGTCTTTGCTACATATACATAATACAATATACATGGTCAGGGGAGTTACTAAATTCCTCCTGCAAGAATACAAATATTTTCCCTTTATTCCTACAATTTGATTTTGATTTTGTGTTCATTAAGTATGTGCCAAAAATAGATTAATATAATTCCTTCGACACTACACAAAATTTATCGCAAAAAAAATCATTCACAAAATAGGTAAAGATGTATACAACGCACTCATATAAACAATTTCTTATCAGGATTAGTGTTGAAAAAAGAAGTTAATTTCACGTACTTAAGACTGAACTAGATTGAGAGGCACAAGAAACAAACCATCTGGAGTACATGATTTTAGCTGACGTCACCATCACGGAAAGTAAGTAGAGTGAGTGAGTGAGTGAGTGAGTGAGTGAGTGAGTGAGTGAGTGTGTGTGTGTGTGTGTGTGTGTGTGTGTTTTTATTCCACAAGGGTAAGGGGGGGTGACACGAACACTTTTGATGACCGAACTAAACATAACCTAATACGAGGTCACATAAATTATCTTTTTTTTTTTTTTTGCTGGGTTGTGTTTGATTAAGAGCTAGGTCAGCCTGGGTCACGTTTGTAGTTAGTGGGTTAGGTTTAGAATGAGTTGGGTCATGTGACAGCATACTAAGACCATACCTCGATGAACAGCTTCTTGTTCCACCCTAACCAAGAGTTTCACACTGATCTATTGAAAAACCAAAGGAGGCTGGGATGAACCAAGGAATGCAGGCATGAAACTAGGAAGGCAGACATGAACCAAGGAATGCAAGGAAGAACCAAGCGAATCAAGACTGAAAAGAAAACACAAGAAAAAGAGGACAGTTAAACACTTGGAGAAATAGGCACGTGAGGACATACAGTGCGGCAAGCAGGACATTGGAAAGAATATTATACCTACATATAATATATACAAGCCAAATTTTATACATCTCAAAATTCCTCTTTCTTTACTAGCTAGGCTAAGGCTTCTTAGTCTGTTAAATAAAAACATTAATCATAATAACACAGGAAAACAATCTTATGAGCAGAAGAAACACTTTTGGTGGAGGAGCCTCGATAAGACCCGGCCACCTTCTCGCTCTACGTTAACGTTGTGAACCAATGTTGCAGCTTTTTTAAGCATTTTCTATTGTGGTTTTCTTGGATATTTTGGCTTAGTGAGACTGTAGGCTTATTAATCAACAGTCTTGCGTGATCTACCAAAGGTTTATTCGGGGTAGAGTACTTTTAAGAAGCGAGAGTGTACGCCTCCCGAGGGTGTCATCATGGGGCGAGGACACTCACTGGAGGTCGTCAGGTGGTTGTGACGTGTCGTCCTCCTGTTGAAGCCTCACAGTATAATAATCTATCCCTCAGCGTGACAGAGCCAGAATTATATTTTCATAATCGTGAATAAAACCAATTTCTCTTTTCCTTTGAGGGGGATAAGTTAAGGCACCCTTAGCAAGACGCCGCGAGATGAACTCCTGCCTCATCTACACCCAACCTTCAGTCTTCCTAAATTGTAATAACTTCAGATAAAGTGACAAACGTATTAATGGTTTATATTCTTTTTGGTCAACATAACTACACCCAAAACTTACATATCAAAAATTTTCGGCACTTAGTGATAGGCTGTTTTATCATTATTACAATTTCAAGAGTGTTGGGTGTGGGGTGGGCAGGTGGGTGTTGCAGGACAAACGCTCCAACGTAGTCGTCTCCCTCGTCTTCACACCTCATACTAACATTATACCAATAATACATTTTCCATTTTCTAAAACAAACCAAAAAAAAACACCAAAGTTTCTGTGTCAATAAATATCAACCGAAAAATCATTAGAATCGACTAGTATGCCATTCCCATACAGTATCACAATGGTTAAATAATAGGGACAAATATTCTAATGGCATCATTCGTCGCCCTTGAAGCACAGCACATCAGGTGACCATCACTTATGTTATCAGCAACAATCATATGGTAACTGACCAAGCGTCAGTTTCTTGGATACCTCGTCTTCTACAAGAATTTTTCACATATTAACCACCTGCGAGTCTTAAATGAAGCTGTCAACACCTTTAGTAAGCCTGGTACGTTGACTCCAAGCACGACAAAGGCGCCTAAATGATGGGCAAACGACATAAATGTGGACAAGAGGTGGCCTTGACGGTGCACGCGTCGGGGCGGGCGGGGGCAACACTGACGGCTGCTACGCTACCACCGTCGTGTGGGACACCACTTGAGCGAGTCTGAGAACGTTCACTCAGCCCAGAGTTACTTGGGCAACTCATCTCTTGGTCTAATTCTACTGCCACATAGTTGTGTCCAACACCCACTTTACACAAGCCACTGTATGTGGGAGAGTACGAGTTCATTCCCAGCATTTGTAAGGCTCCGACAACCACTGTGGTTATCACTGTCTCTTGTGTGGGCGTGAGCATGAATGCGCGGGCGTGAAGTCCTCAGGTTTGTGTCCAGGACGCCCCCGCCTGCCGCTTCAGGCCGGCCACTTGCCACTCATCACAATAAAGTCTTGATACACTCATTTGGTAGCAAAGCTTCATCACACGGAAAGTGTTGTCTGCCGAGATAGAACGAATTTCTCGTCCATCTCTTGTGTGAATACATTAAACAAATATCACAACACGTCTTCCACCGAAATATGGGTGGACCATCATACAATTATCAAAGTATATATATATATTTATATTTATAAAGCTAAAGCATTAAAGAAATACAGTGTACTCTTTCTCCAGTCATCGCAAGTTGACAGAACCTTCATACAGGGATATAACGCAACTCCCAGAAGGCGAGGCAGTAACCAAGATGTGAGGAACAATGTGATAGGACAGCATTAACACTTGTAAGTCAACCATCTCTAACACATGTGGGAGAACCTAAATATACAGATGAAAGACACAGAGAAACAGACCAAACAAAACAGCAGGAAACAGGTAACAGTAACTCCTTGTAAGCAGTTACTCTTGACCTGAGGGAGGGGTGGAGAGGAACAGTAGGTTAGGTAGGAGGTGTAGCGGCGACGACCCCGTCTCACAGATATTCCCAAGGGTCACCGGAGGGAGCCTGGCAGGTCACGCAGCTTCTCATGTGGCCGGATAAGAGTCTGGAAAATTCCCACATAGAGGAATTTCAACATGTACTGTACGTCTCATCCCTCGGCGGTTAATACAAAGGATGACATTTAGGGATAAGAGTCTCAAGTTGGTTCTTTATTTCATGTAAGATCGAGAGGAACCTCAACACAAGGTACACACGTGCTCAACAAGGACTGTGAGAGAGGGAACCTGCCAGCCTCCCCTGGACGCGACCCTCTGGGGGTGACGGGGCCCCCAGCCGATACCTGTCTTTTTACACCAGGAATAGGAAACTAAATACTCTTAAGCAATAGGTCTTTTTTATCAACAGGTCCTACGAGCTATAAAACACAGAGGCCTTCAGCAGCTCAACCAGCAAGACACTCGACACGGTAAGTGGCTGGCGGACTCTTGTGTTCATACTCTCTCCACGTACTTGCAGACATCAATGTAGTCTTATACACCCAATACAAGCAATGGAGACACATACACACATACACTCACACCGCTACTACGCACTAACCCTCACTCATCCAAAACTACAATGAAACTACACAGGCCGGGATGATGGTGAGAATAAGGAGGCAGATGAGGTGAAGCAGTCCTCCTGCCAGTCTCTTGCTACCTCCCGAGTTGCTTCTGCCACCCTCCACACACTGCCCTGGGGGTGCAACGCACCATTAACACAAAGATTCATTATAATTCATGTTAACAATTGCACTACTATGTTATTTTACATTGGAAATATTATATCTTACATTACAGTAGTTCAGAAGAAACATCAAATTTATTCTTAATGTTGAGCAATCCTTTATTTTGTTTAGTGTTCACCGACTTTACCAAAGTTGTACTACAGTACAGTATACCAAGATTAGAGTGTAGACGTACCAGCAAGCGTGGCGTTGATGGCGATGTGCGCGTCGTGCTGTCGCTGGATGCAGGTGTCGTGGCGGGCGGTGAGGGTAAGTGTGTTGGTGCGGGTATCATCACTGTAGGCAAAGCAGACGCGGCGTGGAGCCCCTGAGGCCCGGGACATGGGCGAGGCCACCACGTACGTCACTCCCTCCGACGTCCATTGACCGTGACAGTGAAATACTGTGGACAACAACCAACACTATTGATTAGCACAGTTAATAACACACACACACACACACACACACACACACACACACACATTCATACTGACTTTGCTTATGAGAAGTTCCATTTATAGTTGAATTATACCAGAAATATACATATCTATTTTCGTGCGGCAGGTAGCGTTAAGGTGTTTGATCAGATGAAATAAGCTGGGGTGCCTAACCATGTGATCGCTGCCAAGTAGGACAACCCCCCCCCCCCTCCCTGCTTAATAATCCATAATAAAGTGGTCACATTAATTTACCAGTTTAAATTAATTTTCTAATTACATGATAAATTGAAGGTGTAATTTCCCCCAAATAACAGTTTTTCAACAGGATACAATTCAACCTGGGTCTAAAAAATTCCTGCGATGGCTCTAATTGTATTAAGATTGTTTATGGACATCAAACAGGCGATTCCTTTGTACGGGTAAATAGATATGTCAAGACTTTCAAAGCACAAAGCGGAGGGAAACAAGAGGACGGAGCCTCTAGCAAGCATAGCTGCCACACACACCACTGAACACCCACTACAAAAACCTCTCAACAGTGGCTGCAGGACGTTGCTTCCTCGCGGGCGGGGAAAAACGTGTTCCTTTGAGCTGCCTCTGGTCATGACAGTGATACGCCGCGGGGGTGGAATGAAGGGGGCTAGATTAATGTTCTTCTTGCGTGGTCACCCGCCAGAGGCTTTTGCGGCTTTTTGTCCAGCGGGAACAGGTTCATGCCTATTGTACAACAGCCGCGACTCACGAGGCGGCAGCCGGTAATGACAAGAATAGGGGGGGTAGGGTGTAAGACGAACTGTTTCTCCCTGCCACACACAGCGACGCCTCACTGTCACCATTCATCACCCTCGTGAACAAACATAACTCACCCAAACAATTAGGGTATGACGCACCCTTCTCTCTCCGTGTTTGAAGCTCAATTTCTGTGTCCGTGTGCCTGTCTGTTTCTCCCTCCTTCCCTCACCACTAAACATGAACTATTTTGCTTTAGCTGTACGAGAGCAAAAATAATTACATTTCTCAATTCGACGAAACAGCTTATTTCAATGTACAAGTTGATGAATGAGCGCCTGCCTTCCATTATCAGCCAAGTGCGATTTCTCTTCTTTAAGGCCCTTGCTGAGTGTGAAGAGCTAGGTAAGTGTATTAGCTGCATCAATTACTGTACTTAAATGTGATTAAAAATTAAGGTGTTAGAGCATGGGCGAGGATATCGTAAAATAATATAACAAAACAAAAGAAAAACGGGACACGCGAACTAAGGGACTCGTTGTTTGTGTAACCTAACGTAACCATAACCTAATAACAATAATCTAACCCAACTGATAATTATTAGTTGGTTCTGAAATGACCTAACACCGTCTGAACCTCCAAATATGTGAGCTTACCATAAACAGTCTTCTCGGGGCAGCGAGCATCGAGTTGCAGCGTGTTGCCGGAGTTGCATCCTACTGTGATGTGGGTGAAGGTGCGGGACTCGCCAGCACAGGGCACGAGGGCGTCTGGTACGTGATACCGGCCAAAGGGTCCACAAGGGCCCGGAGGCCCTCCAGCGGCCACAAGGGTAGTGAGGTTGGCTGTGGTGGGGGACCAGTAGTGGCTGGAACACGCCTCTTCAGCCTTAAGCCCCAGCTCCCCTGACCTCACTTGTACCACGTGCTCGTCCCGGCGGTAGATCCGTAGGCACTGGTACCCACTCTTACTGCTCAGGGAGAAACAAAATATTAGCTCATGTCTAAGATATAAACACGTTGCCACACATACTTATGATTGGTCCATTTACTTGCATATACTGTATATACATAAAACATACTTTAGGGTGTTTAAAAAACAAGAACAAAATGACGATTTGAACTAGCTCTACATTATTCCCTGTTCCAGTCGCGTTAGTTCACCAACCAATCCAAGAAGAGGCTTAGTTAAGGAGCAGTTGTTAGGGTGATGTATGGGGTTCATCACCAGTGTGGCAATGTGTGTACAGGAGGCGTTATGTAGTGTGTCTAGAGGTAAAGTAGCGTTATGTAGTGTGTCTAGGTGTACAGGAGGCGTTATGTAGTGTGTCTAGGTGTACAGGAGGCGTTATGTAGTGTGTCTAGGTGTACAGTAGCGTTATGTAGTGTGTCTAGGTGTACAGGAGGCGTTATGTAGTGTGTCTAGGTGTACAGTAGCGTTATGTAGTGTGTCTAGGTGTACAGGAGGCGTTATGTAGTGTGTCTAGAGGTAAAGTAGCGTTATGTAGTGTGTCTAGGTGTACAGTAGCGTTATGTAGTGTGTCTAGGTGTACAGGAGGCGTTATGTAGTGTGTCTAGGTGTACAGTAGCGTTATGTAGTGTGTCTAGGTGTACAGGAGGCGTTATGTAGTGTGTCTAGTGCGTTATGTAGTGTGTCTAGAGGTAAAGTAGCGTTATGTAGTGTGTCTAGGTGTACAGTAGCGTTATGTAGTGTGTCTAGGTGTACAGTAGCGTTATGTAGTGTGTCTAGGTGTACAGGAGGCGTTATGTAGTGTGTCTAGGTGTACAGGAGGCGTTATGTAGTGTGTCTAGGTGTACAGGAGGCGTTATGTAGTGTGTCTAGGTGTACAGGAGGCGTTATGTAGTGTGTCTAGGTGTACAGTAGCGTTATGTAGTGTGTCTAGGTGTACAGGAGGCGTTATGTAGTGTGTCTAGGTGTACAGTAGTGTTATGTAGTGTGTCTAGGTGTACAGGAGGCGTTATGTAGTGTGTCTAGGTGTACAGGAGGCGTTATGTAGTGTGTCTAGGTGTACAGGAGGCGTTATGTAGTGTGTCTAGGTGTACAGTATCTCAAAAACTATCTGCCAAAATGGGTCTGATGACTTCTGAAATGCTACATGCAACTCGTCAGGTCACGGGAGGGTTGGTATGTGTGGTATACTGATCCTACTACATTTGGTAACCGATCATCATATTAATTACGCAGAAATAAACACACATTTGCATTATTGATGTAAACTACATACCAAAGTTAATGCATGTCCCAATATCTTTCATCCGTGACCTTATTCATTTGTTTTACACAGAGTGGACACAAAACTTTTTTGAGAAACTGTACATAGCAGGCGAGTGTACAGGAGTTAACTATGTCATTGTCTGTACATGATTTGTAAACACTATTTATGGCAAAAAATAATCCAAACCTGAGAATCTTAGAGATAACCCAACAAATAGTAAGATCAATCACATACATAGAGACGAATTTGTTTACATGAAGAAAGACACACACACATACACATACACACACACATACATACATATCAAGTCGAACATACCATCCTACTGTGACGTGGGCGACGACGGTAACGAGATCTTCGTCAGCGTGGTCTCGGTGATGCTTGTGGTGATCACTGCTACTGGCGTGGTGATCACCGGAGCGGCGATGTTCGTGGTGATCCCGGCGACTCTCGTACTTGTGACACACCAGCCGGAAGTCTGTGTGTCCGCGGGTCTGACGGGGTGATGGTGAGGTGGAAGAACGGACATTATTAATCGGGTCTTGGGGTAAATGTCAGGTGTAAGGAATGTTAGGGCAAAGTTGTGATGACATCCTTTGGGAATTCGGTGTTATTAACAATCTAAGTTATAACAAGTATGATTATTATTGGACTTACAAATAATCATGTATATTAAATCAAGATCAAAAAAGGTCAGCACTATACGTAAAGTCATTGTCGGAGTCATGATCAATCGATGTCATTAGAGATCGAGACAATCAATAATCAAGGGTAATCATCATTAATTACTGAGCGAGGTCAAAACATGCATGACACTCATTATAAGCTTCCGTCACTATCACAGACGTCAGAAAAGGTCAGCATTAAACTCATGCACTGTGAGCTTTGTTGTGTCGTAAACTTATGATACTGTGGGCCTTGTTGTGTGCTAAACTTAAGACATTGTGGTCCTTGTGTCTAAAGTTCAAATCACAGAAAAGCTGAGCTGAGGTAAGCTAAGCTAACCTTACAAAGATGGAGCTGAAAGGCCAACTATTTCTTAATCTTAAGTTTTAGAACGTTTTAGGTTTTAATCCTAATTCAGGGGAGGGTTTAATCTATCCAAGGATTCCCCTAAAACGATTCTTAGGTTGAAGGACTCCCCTCAACATGTAGGATTCCCTCCTGAATGACCCCACTCCCAAGGCCTGAAATATTTAACCCGACATACCCCGAGGAGATAAGGGACTCACCTCAATGTCTTCTGGGGCTGCGGTGCCGTCGCTGATCCTGATGGAGGTGTTCTTGTGGTAGACGAAATAACTCTTGCTGTTGTCTAGCGTGTGCCAGTGGCTGTGGACCGTCAACCAGCTAGGGAACTTACACTTCCTCCCATTGTGAGTCACTGTCAGAGGTGGTGCAGAGATTAAGTAAATGTTTATGAAGAGAAAGTAAAGGTTAACAGAGAAGAGAATGTTTAACATGGGAGACAGAGCAAATTACACAAATTTGGAAAAGAGAGTAAAGGCTAAGATGTAAGAGAGAAACTTGGTTTGAATGTTGGTGGAGTACAGTCCAAGTCAGCATATGCACTGATTGAAAAGAAAGACGATTTAATATTAGAAACCGCAATCACATGTAAACGAATTCTAACATCTGCTACTGATACCTGCCATCTGCTCTCAATTAACAAAAGTTGATCGAATCCACGACCCGTTCTAGAGCTATTTTTGAGAGAGAAACAACCGAACACTACCCCCACACACACCATTAGACTACATTGATCATAAATGCGCACATTCCTAAACCACGAATGTCTTCATAATAAATAACACTGATCTAAACTCCGTATACCCTGTTGTTGCTGCCGATGGTTAATTGAAAGGTACTGTGTATGTGAAGAAAAAAAAATACGAGAATTTTTACATATTTTTAAAAGGTCAAGCTTGTGTGTGTGTTAACACTGAGTGACTGTGTGTATTATCTACTCAGGTAGTTTAATTTCATCTTTACTAAGGTGATATACAGTATATTAATTTGCTCTCACGTCAGAATATGGTAAGTCATGTGAAAATATTTGATATTTAATGGAAATGTGAAAACTTTTGGAGAACTTTATAAAAATGTGGAAACCTATGGGAAAGTTCATTGGTCATACCGATATGTTTGTTGAAGCTCACACAAACGTCATTACCTTTGGAGAGTTTCATGGTCTTGCTGCCCTCGTGAGCGGAAATGAGCCCCTGGCAGGTGGCGTCGGCAGATTGGGCGAGGTTCCATGTCTGGGTGTTGCCCTGGTGGCGTGGGTGCTCGTAGATGAAACAACGGTAGCGGTCCTCGTCACTCTTGACGTGGATGTGGTCCACCTTCCCCACCAGATAGTGGTTCGACCCCTCCTTCCACGACGCCAGACACACCAACTCCTCCACTGTACAAAATAAATGACACGTGGTTAAGTAAATAAATTAGCGGTACTGTATTTTGGCGTAGTTAAGCATGTCAATTAATCTGTATTAGAATGGAATACTATCTTAGCGCAGGAACAGCCAAGGTCATGTGGCGCATCTGTAACAGAAAATGGAGACGCTTATGTGAAGAAAGTTATGTTGGTATTGAGTGTAGTACAGGTACAGTACATGTAAGGCGTGATACTTGTTTTACACGTGTTAGAAGCTCGATACATAAGCTAACACACTAGTATATCAGGACTAGCAAAATTGACCCCCCCTCAAAAACAAAAAATAAATAAATAAAAATCATTAACTTGCTAGTGCTTTCAACTCCTCCAATCCTCCTCAGCTCCCAAGCTGACTCGGTGATACCCTGTGGTCACGGCTTGGACGCGTTACATTCCTGTCCATTTCATGCCCGGGTTGTCCAGATGGACAAAACATAGACAACAGTTGACAAAAACACTCTAGGAGGAAGACGCTCCCCACTTACTACTACCCAGTTCCCAACTATATCAATATTCTAAATACTAATTTGACATTACTATCATACCACTTGTCAAAGTTGCTACCAAGAGTTTTGTAGTGTATATAGTCCCAATCTATTGTGTGCGCCTAATATTCTGGGGAATAGTTGCTATACTGTAAGCTACTTTAGGGGTTGGTAAAAAAAACAATAAAACCCTAAACACCAGGTGGGTTGGTACACCAGGTGGGCTGTTTTTTTTAAACCCGGGTTTTTCCAGCCCTGAGGTATATGCTAAAATACTACAGGTTAAGGAAGGTTGTATGCTACACTGACACTACAGGTTAAGGAAGCTTTTATAATACACTGACACTACAGGGTAAGGAAGATGTATGCTACACTGACACTACAGGATAAGGAAGATGTATGCTACACTGACACTACAGGATACGGAAGCTTGTATGCTACACTGACATTACAGGATAAGGAATCTTGCATAATACACTGGCACTACAGGATATGGAAGGTTGTGACACTAGACTGTAGATTAAGGAATATAACACAGTCGAGAGATACAGACCAAAGCTCTCAGAGCCCGGAACATCAGCACAGGCTTGGTGACGGAAGAGCAGCCGGGAGTCGTCAGCACACGAGTCCACCTGTAGGATACAACACAACGTCATATAGACAACTTTGAGAATAAGTCTACCACATAAAGACAATATAGAATGTGTAGACTGCATATACAACCCATTAATGAGTATAATGAGTACAATACACAGACAATCCATAGGAGGAGTATATATAGGTTGCTGAAATAACAGTGTACAGTACTATACCGTTAATATAAGAAGTATAATATAGATAAACATCCCCACGTATTCCTCACTACTGATAGTTGACATAGGTGCAGTGTAGTGCGGTATTGTCAGTCCATAGAGCGAATATATTACACACGATTAACTTAAGATGCTAGATTTAACGAATACACTAAAAACATATCACTATAAAAAATTACCTTACACATGAACAGTCAATACCACTACTAATGACTTACTAACATACAATTCCACTTAGTAACTCAACTTTTGGTTTCTATACACCCAATTAACTATCCGGTCGATTGTTACAGAACTTTATTTTCGACTACCTCTCATTTAATACATTTTCAGGACACACACGATACAGCATTATATTCTTTAAGCGTGATAGAACAAGTATACTGTATTACAAATCGCATCGAGTAAGCATACATAACACATCTGCCAAAGAAAATATTTACTCATTTGTTATAAGTATGTTCACTACACTAATGAAATAAGAAAATTCACTACACATCTCATATACCAGCATTTCTATTTATACATCTATAGATACCCAACACATTTATTCTATCCACAATTAAACGTGGTGGAAACAGTGCATATCACATTATAAAAAGTTCTTATGTTGCAAAAAAAACAAAGTGCAAACATAAATCTGCTTATGCAAGAAAATGTCAGTAAAAATAACATTATTGCTACTACAACACGCGTTCATTTATTTTATATATTCACAGTAAAGAGAAGTGTCATTACGGGCGTCTCACACATACAGGTAACACAAGATGGCTCGACCATAACGACACGCTACTATAATCTGTTACGATCCCACTGCTCTCACCAATTACACCAGCGACCTTCATTCGAACAAAACTGGGAGAGCAAAGTAAGTTTCTTCCTTAGGTTTCATTAGTGTTACGTTGTCCTGTAGTATGGAAGTTGCTGTTGGTATTACTGTTTTTTCTCTCTCTTTCTCGTCACTTTTTTGAATCATTAATTCGGATAAATTTAATTTGCTTTCATGTTATTGTAATATTTATTATATTTTCTATTCCTTTCTTTCCATCTTCCCTTGCCTTCCTCCATCCCTTCTCCAGTTATTTCACCCTACCTTCAACTTCTCCTTGTTCCTTCCCACCCTTCCTCCATCTCTCCTCACTGCCTTCCTCCTTTCCTTCCCCCTTCCCTACTCTCCCACAAGACTGTCCATTTACCCTGGCTACATTTTTCACCCTCCTTAAAAAAAAAACACAAATCCTCTTATTGAAATTTTCTGTAACGGTTTAAAATGCCTATGTTTTACCATTGTGTATCTCGACGCTTGGTTATTTTTCCCTCCCTCCTACAGCCCCGAGACCCCCGTGAGCTGTTTGGTATCTTAAAGGTAGATATATCAACCTTCTTAACGCTTTGTGGAGTTTTTAAGTTTATTCATTTACTTGACTCGTAAGATTTTTTTTATTAGTGTTCTATGGTAAGTGAGTTGTATTTTATAACCGTTAGTGAGTTAACTTTCTATACCAAAAAGGTTAAGGCATATACTGTACTCATTTACTGTACTCGTCTACTCTTGAGCGTTTGTATGGTATGAAAGGCATATAAAAGCATTTACTCATTTCCTTATCTATTTTCACGCTTTTGTTAACTATTTACAATTGACTTTCTGTTCATATGTATACTTTTAAGCTTATACACTGTTCTTTACCCCTAACTTTGTTCCTATACTTCATGACAGCTTGTTTAGCATCGTATACTCACTCCTCGCTACCAATTAACGCTTTAATTTCTCCTTGCCTCACCAAGAACACCTCCCTTTATCTCCCTCCCTCACCAAGAAGGGAAGCCAACCCCCTATCTCTCCTCATCTTATTAGGAACGCTTCATTAGCTCTCCTGGTCTCCCCACTTCATCAGCAACGCTTCCCGGTACCTCACCAGGAAGGAATGTCTCTCCCTATCTCTTCTCGTCAGACCGGGAACCTCTCTCTCTCTCTCACCTATTCAAAATAACCTCCCAGCACCTCACCCTACGTCACCCTCCTGAACCACACACCCATAAGCGACCATTATTTATCTTGGCCTCAACCCATAACACAACACCACCTGTCTAAATTTTATGGGGGTGGGCAGGATATTAGCGCCTCATAATGGGGTGTAGAGAAAGGGAGAGGGGGGAGTAAGTGGGGGTAGATGAGGTATGGAATTAGTTTATACGTAATCTCCACAATGGCCCATATTAGGTGCTGAGAAAAAACAAACATTACCTGTAAGCAGCGGGAACCCACCAAGAGCCTGTAAAATAAGCCGACGTATCCGACAGCTTTCATAAGTGCCATGATCACCACCTCTTCCCTCCACTAATTTCCTTCCGCCGCACATTCTGCTAACCTCCAGCATCCGGCTACCTCAGCTTATTTTTTTTTCGAAGATAATCCGAAAGCATCCGATAAATCCGGTTTAAATGCTGGTAAACGGGTAGGGTTGGTTTGGGCCGACGTGGGGAGCCGAAATTACCTTGATGGAAAGGGCCGTCTCACCAACACTAAATGAAGGCTTTTCTCCCCTAATTCCATATCACACAGGGGGCAGATTACACGCTCTTAATGTAATAAACGTCAATGGTAAACTGACGATATTTCCCGCTTTAGAAAACGAGGATAATGGTCAGTTAGAATGATCTTGCGCTTCCCTACATTAATGATCAAATATGAAAACACGGAGAGTATTATTACACTAATATAATAATCGTGTTTAGTACGAAATCTGAAATAATAAAATATCAAATTAACTTAAAGGTATCGTAGAAATACCAAAGCCTGGCCGGCAATCTATATACTGGGGCCATTCTTTATGCCTCTACGCCAAACCCTCTTCATTTTACATTTACAAACAATTATAACCGAGAATTGTTCACTGGCTTCATGAATTCCCTTGAAAAGACACCCCTTCCGCGAGAGAAACATCAGTCAGATCAGGAAAGGCGCTCACTGGGCAAACTAAACAACTAAAAACATTGTATACCTCCAGACAAACATCCGGCCTGACAGAACTGCTGGAAACTACATCACACTGCTGGCACGTTATTAAAAGACCCGTAAATAATATTATCTTAGGTCTGTTTACAAAGGGACAATGGGGCGGATTTATCACGTATGAACAAAATGAGTTACAATAGTTTCCCCTGATATGAAAACATTATATGGCGTGGCTACGATGATTACATAATTGTAAACTGGACAAATATGATAAATACTATATTATTTATATGCCGAGTATATACAGTAGTCTATAGAATCCGAGTTTATACACCTGTCCTTAGGTTTGGGCACCCTCAGTCCACCCAGCTGTGAAAGAATACCTAGTTTATAGTTAATAATGTGAAGGCGTTTGATTGCCGACCACAGTTCCTCCATGTGTACTCAAGAGCTGTATCCCGACTGCCAGAAACAGGTTGTCAAAACAATGTGACCTATTTTCACATGATGATTGATTACAGATACAACACCTATCGTACTTTAAAACAGCTATTTACTGTAGAAAGTGACTTGGTTTACGTGTTTAACAACCTAGTTCTTGAAGTAAAGATATGTCCAGAAATAAAATTTTTGGGTTACAGAAACGACGGCCTTCCTTCATATTGAAAAGCGTTCTGTTGTCTAGTGTGGGAACTAAGAATTACCGCTTAAGGGCTTTGAACTAAGAATTCAGAGCCATGATGCTTAAAGACTCTGGTCACTGAAGCACCATGATATATTAAAACAACAACAACGACGATTACACATAATGACATACTCGCTAGTTTAGATAAAGCTCTTCAACTAAGACTGTGTCCTGGTCTACACGCCTACCCTTTAACATTATGTAATCCACGCCCTTGGTCTACACGCCCACCCTGTAACACATTATGTATTCCACGCCCTTGTCTACACGCCCACACTGTAATATTAAGCACCCCACGCCCTAGTCTGCACGCCTGGCCTATAAAATTTTACACGTGAAAAAAAGTAAAAAAAAATATCTTCCCTCTCACAGGCTAATGAAAAAACCCGGATATAATGACCTTGTGTTAAAACATAGACAAGAAAGAGGCCGTGGTGAGGGTCATGAACTCTGGTAACATCGTCATGCAAATTCCCATGAAACTTTTAATAGAATCACCAGGAGCTACACTTACCACAGCCTAATTAAAACACATTATTTTTAATGATCTATATTTACATCGAAAAGAAGAGGATGTATTAGGTTAATTTGTGACTAAATGAATGTGCTGGATGTTATGTTAATCCCTTCTACATGGTGTTATTAATTGCTATTATTTCCAAGTAAATATCGATAAACTTAGCAATATGAAGGTAATTAGTCAGGTGTTCAGTAATGTACAGTAGCTGAAACAACTATCTGTGCAGACTTTGTGGGAAACAATACGAGACCATGGACGATAAATATTGGTATATGAGGGTAGTTGTTTTAGCTACTGTACATTTTCTGTGGATTCGCCTGCCTGCCTCTCACCTCACCTCACCTCACCTCACCTCACTCTCCGGTTACGATTTTATTTATATTCTATACGATAAGTTTCTTCTGGTGCTGTTAAATATATTGAGTTAAGGTACAGTCTCAGGGTAAGTTTGTTGCCATTTTGGAAGTTGTGTGTTTGTTGTATCTGAGGTGAACCAATTAAGAGAATTCTCACATTTTTACTTACGAGAAATTGTTAATATGTGATCCTTTGAAAACCTGGATCTGATCCTTAAGTAATAAGTTTTCAAGCATTATCTCGTTAAGTGTGGACCTTAACCTTGAGTGTTAGTGTTGCTTGCATGTAATAATCACTCAAGTGTTTAGTTTTCAAAATAATTAAATGTTTTCTTTCAATTTGATTACGAGTCGAGTTAATTAGTAATTTAATTTAAAACCCCGATAAGGCTGATCTGAATAATAAACATTTAATTTCTGGGTCCCGTTAATAAGCTCTCCACATTTTTACCCGACAACGAAAAAATTAAATAAAAAAAACCTCTTTTTTCTTCCTATATATTTACCTACTAAAAACTTCTCCAGGAATTAAATACTTAAATTAAATACATAAAAATACCCTTTGTTTTTTTTTTAGAGGTGAAAGAATAAACTCCTTTCACTAATGAAGACAGACACAATACCTAACGCCTTCACTGGCCCAGAAAATACATTATATTTCTCCAACAAATTCAGTGAAGATTACAGTCATTTCCAAGTATTCGTTCTGTTATCTCTCTCTCTCTCTCTCTCTCTCTCTCTCTCTCTCTCATGGCGGTAATGGAATGAACGCAATGTACATAAATAATTTTGTATTCAGCAAACTTTTTACCCTAATTAAAAAAAAAGGCTACCGGCGCACTTATTTTTCGCCTTTTTTTTCCCCTCTGACAAAAAAGTTCATTTCTTTCTTCATATTTCTTTTTACGACTCGACTTCTCTCCCCCAAGCTAAAAGCATTTGTATTCACCATTGTAATTGTTAATGTAATCAATATTGTTTGTTTTCGTGGCATATGTAAATTCCAATATACACTTTTTAAATACATTTGCAAAAGCCATTCTCTCACTACATGCACAAATAAAAACATATATATATATATACACAGAGGCATATACAATATACACACCATATACAGATGCCACTCTCACTCACAGCTCCTATAATACAGACGTGTGTATGAGAATGTCTCGACACAATATACACTACACTACGCATTATGTTCAACTGAAAACTATACAACGGGTGAACAACATGTGACGGAGGTGTAACAGTACATGATGTTCATACGGTTGAGTTGCACTATTATACTTTAAGAACTATGTGTGTTCATAATATAAAAACAATGTAAACGGAGATTTTAATAAAGCTTAGGCATAATTACTGCATCAATTTCTGGCTTTCAATATAAATAAAATTCTATAAAGTTTTTAAAAGCTTAGAAGTGTATATCATATTCAAGGGGCTATATCAGTGTAGTCAAGGGGCTATATCAGTGTAGTAATGAGGTTGTCATCATATTCACAAAGCTAAACCATCGAACTCAAGGGGTTAACACATCGTACTCAAGAGTTTAATTCATAGTAGTCAAAACTTTAAGCCATTGTATTCAAATTGATTAAAGCCATCGTACTCTAAGGGGACTAACTAACTCACTCAATGTACTCAGAGGTGGGGAACGGGACTCAAAAGGTTTAAATGCTCAGATATTTTAAATAAAACTTGATACAGTGTACCCACCCGTCCTCGTCTCTACACCCGACAGTAACAGGATTACACTATAAAGACCAGTTTTAACACCCCCATAACGAAAGGGAACTTAATACTGCTAAAACCTTCCAACACATTTCAAGAGTTGTAAGTGTCGTAACTCAATGAGATATCACGCGAAAATAAAATAAAAAATGATGAGCAAAAAAGAAATAATAAAACAAACAAATATGCGATAAAATACAGTGAAAACTACATGAAAAGAATAGCGACCTTCATTATAGGATAGGATAATATAGTATAGGATAATATAGTATGGTATAAATAAGTCTAATAGGTAGATATTGGGAGAGATATCTAAAGAGAGAGATGTGTTGGTGGTGTATTCTCTCCCCACCCCCCCCCCCCCTGTGTGTGTGAGAGAGAGAGAGAGATTGTTCATTTGCTAATGGACAGGTGGAGGATCATTACCACACTGGGTCAAACAGTTCACAGGTCACAAGACATGGATGGAGGCAGGGTTCAGCCAGGCAGGTTTCAGCCAGGCAGGGTTAAGCCAGGCAGGGTTCAGTGTATTTAAATTTTCCATGATTTTCAATATCCAGACATATAAACAAGATCAAAATATATGACAAAAATATACTTATCAAAGAATTAAAAAAAAAAAGCATATCCGGAAAAACAAAAATAACAAAAAAAATTTAGCCTCTGAACAACCGTATACCTTAAAAATAAAACGACCCTGGCAAAACATAATTTTTTCTGGTATTCGTCTGGCAGCCAAACATTACAACCCTGCACATAAATCACTAACCAGGGAATGAATAATACAAGACGATGGAGTGACTGGAGGTGGTGTGGTGTGGTGCGCTGTGGTGCGGTGTGGTGTGGTGCGTCGTGGTGCGGTGTGGTATGGTGTGGTGCGTTGTAGTGCACTGTGATGTAATGCGCTGTAATATGGTACACTGCGGTATGGTCCTGTATGGTATGGTGCAATATGGTGGCTGTGGTAAGCTGCGTAGCGGAGAGATTTTTAAAACCAGGACACAGAATTAAATTATTTATACCCGAATACAAATATTATCATTGACATTTCTACAGCATCGGGAGTGTTCCAGGTAACCCCCCTCACCTGACAAATAATTCGCGGGAGACAACACCGCTGATACAACGTCTGACCGCTCTTGGTAATGTCATAGTAATGTTTGTAGTTAAGAGTTTCTTTCTTCATTTTTTATTTGGTTTTACAAGTTAGTCGACATTGGAGGTTTTGGTCACCTAAAACTCATTCGGAACAACTATTAAATACTGACGTTTCTGTTGGTTATAATAAACAATTTACAGCGAAAAAATACAAGCGAGGAAGTACTGCCTCTTTTGTTGACATTAAAATACAATTCTTTGGCTTTATTACCCCGCTGACATTACTTCCTCACTCCTAGGTAATATGTCAGCCGCGCACTTGCCGACTTGCTGATAATTCAAATCATTATCAACTCTACACTTTTATAAGACGAGCACTTGAGATTTTCTGCACTAAATTATTCACTCGGTCAATACTTGATAAACGAAGAGTTAGGTGTTAAGGGCAGGGCCGTCCCTAGGAGGGTGCGGGGCCCGGGGCAACTCAGCCACTGCGGGGCCCCAGATTATGCGGTCAGAGGAACCCACCCCCACCAACCCCCATGGGACTGTCGCTATGGATGAATGGAACAAGTTACCAAATATCATCATTAACTCGAATACGCTGAATAGCTTCAAACATAGGTTGGATGCTTATATGAGCAATAGGGGTTGGGTGTAAACGGGACTGCCCAGTATGGGCCAATAGGCCCGCTGCAGTTTCCTCCATTCTTATGTTCTTATGTCACGGTTGCGATGGTGGCGTAAGCCGTCAGGTCAGATTAACCAGTCAACATGTAATGTGTCCTAGGTCACTGGGTCTAGTGTTGGGCCCCGCGGGGCCCCCACACGCGCGGGGCCCTGGGCGGTCGCCCCTGTTCGCCCCCCCCCCCCTAAAGGACGGGCCTGGTTAAGGGCAAGTTTTAAGGTAAGAGTTAGGTGTTAAGGGCAGGTGTTAAGGTAAATGTGACCTTGAACAATCATAGGCAGCGAGTAATTAGCGTAAGAAGGGTAATTAAAATCATTGAGATATTATACAGATATCCAATTACGGACGACAGATCCATAAAGGCGCAAGTTATAGTCGCTCTAAACTCTATATGTATCTTATACGTGAGAGTATGGTCTATCAAGTTTATAATCGGGGATGGGTAATGCAGGGTTGGTTAGGTTAGGTAGTGGGAAGCAACGAGTATAAACAGGGGGGGGGGTATATTCGAGGCCTTTTTTGTAGTGATGGGGGAGAACAGTATATGCAGGACAACTCAACATGCTTCCCTGTTGGTCGCTGTAAACGTTTCGCCTTACACAGGATGCAAGGGGGTGTGTCACAATAAACTAGCCTCCTCGCTGGACAAATCTATTTAAAAAAAAGTCTACACCTCCACCCAGGGGCATTCATCATCATCCGTCCACGAACAACAGAATAATAACTGTCTCAAAGTCTAAGGCAAATTGATCCATCCATCTTTAACCCATCAGAAGGCGTTCATAATGTGTGATAATCTTCCTAATAGAACCACCCACCCACCCACCCACCCACCCACCCACCTTCCGTCCGGACTGTAAGACCAAATCATAATCAAATTAAACACAAAAACTCACCTGAGAGACTGGATGCTCACACTCGCCGTAGCCCCTGGAGTAGGTGAAGGTGAGGGGGCCGTGGAAGGGGCAGGCGACCGGCTCAGAGTTCAGGCGGAACATGGAGTACAACATGGCGTCTCCCGTGATGTCCCGACATAACCTCGGAAGGTCAAACTCCATCGTATCGTCGCAGTACGCTGTTGGAGGAGGAGGTAGTGGTGGTGGTATTAGTGGGTATCTGGAGGAGGAGGTATTAACTATAACTAGCAGGTATTATTACAAGTGCAACCAAGTGGTATCGGTAGTAAGGGATCATTTAACCTGGTATTAGGACTATAAGACTGCAGATACTTATAATAATACAGCCAGGTAATAACATCATCTACCTAACCTCCCTCCCAAAATGAAACAGCATCGACCCCAAACAAGACAACAATCAGGGTAAGTCAGTTCGGAGACTCATTCCCGTGATTCAGTTTCACCACGGGGAGTGAACTTTTGACCCCGGACTGTACTAGGTATTAAAAGAGGTATCTGGTATTATTATAAACCATCTTATACTAGAAAGGAAGTACTTGGTATTAAGATAAAGTATACAATAAGAGTACCCAGATACCAATCCTGGCGTCAAGATCAATTACCAAGCAAAAAAGTACTCGATACCATGAGAGAGTACCTGCGATAAACTACCTGGTTATTGATTGGAATGACCAAGTACTCTTGAGAAAATACCTGGTAGGAGTTATTATCTGCATTTCTCTCAACTATTACATTTCATCGTTATTCATTTTCCCATTTTCATGCATTTATTTACCTATTCCCTTTTCCATCCTTTATCATATTTATCTCTCCCTTATTCATCATTATCTCTCTACTTCCTCATTTATTAGTCTCTACATTCTACTTCCTCCTCATTTATCTACATAATCTCTCCCATCTCCATCCCTCTATTTATCAACACCTCTTCGTTTTCCTTCATTTATTAAACTACTACTCTTCCTTCTCTCTATTTCCCCATTTACTATCACCTCGCTTCCTTTATCCATCTATACGTTATTCCATGTTTCTTCACCCCTGTTACATACATCGCTTCTCTTCCCATCCCTTCATTAGTCTGGTTTATTACAGCTTCTCTCCTCCCCTTCCATTATTCTCCTTCGTCGCTTCGGCTTCGTCAATATTTTTCTTTCGTTCGCTAATAGCTTTATCGTTCTTGTTTATTTTCTTTATGATTCTCTCTCTCTCTCTCTCTCTCTCTCTCGACTTCATCTCACTCTTCGTCTCTCCCATCGTCTTCTTTTCTCGTTACTTTCTACCTAATTTTGTATTCTTTTTTCCTATGCCTCTCCTCTCTTCCTTCCCATCTTCCACACCCCTTCCCTCACATTTTTAAAACTTCCTCGAACGTCACAATTAAAATCTCTCTCTCTCTCTCTCTCTCCCTCTCTCTCTCTCTCTCTCTCTCTCTCTCTCTCTCTCTCTCTCTCTCTCTCTGTCATCCAGCGTCTTAATCTATTCCATTCTTTCATTCTTGCCTTTCTGTTACCTCTTTAATCACATCCTTCTTCTTGTTACATCATTCCCTTATTTACTCTCCCCTTGTTCTTTGTGTTCTTGGTTTATTCTCTCTCTCTCTCTCCCTTTCTTTCTCTCTTACTCTTCTCTGTTTCCATTCAGGTTAATCTTCCGTTATCTCTATTTTATATCGCCACTTTTATCCAAACATTCCACCTCTCCCCCCTACTCCCTCTTGTTCCTTTGTTTTGATAGGGCAATTATCTTCATTGCTCTATCTCCTCCCATTCATCTTCTTTATGCTTATTATTATTATTATTATTATTACCAAAATTGCTCCATCAAACGTTTATCCGTCGTGAAGAATTAAGCTCAGATTATTACTCATTTCCCTTGTTCCTTCTTTCTGTTTATAAGTCAATTCACGTGTTTATAATCACCTTTTTCCCTCTCTTTCTTCTCGCTTCCTTATTCTCGCTCCTATTTTCCTTCCTTCCTCCTCTTCTCCCTCCTTTATATTCGTGTTCCTTCTGTTTATTCTTCTTTCTGATATATTTTCTCCTTATTTTCCTTATTAACCTTCATCCTCCTCCTCCTCTTCCTACATATTCCTATCTTCTCCTATTCCTTATTCCCATCTCTCCTCCTTTCTTTATTCCACACCTTCCTCCTCATTCTTCACACACAATGCTAGTACTAGTAAACCCCCCACTCTTGACCTTACTCACTACTAGTACTACTACTAGCACTAGTTCATCTCTAACCATGTAATATATTAACAAGACCACGAGTACAAGTCACACCCTGCTTGTACTCTGAGCTCACCGTTCGTCCTCAGCTAAGTGTACTCATGAGTGTACTATTTAAGAGCCCTTGTAATCTATCTAATTATGGCTGGTATAAATTAATTACCTGCTTCTAACAAGTTCTACTACACCACACGTCCCTAGTACATAACCCTAATAGTACAAATAATCACGAATTAATAATTACAGGTCATAAGGTAGTTACATACCATAATTACAGGTTTATATAAAGTACATTACCATAACCACCATTGCTCCTATATATATACCAATCTTACAATACAATAATGACTACAATACATAAAAATACACAATACACTAATAACTACAATACACTACAATAAAATAATAACTACAATACCTACAATACAATACTTTACCTACACTGATAACTACAATACCTACAATACAATACTTCACCTACAATACACTACAAGTTTAACAAGTCATACTCACATTCCTTGTACTGGATAATGTTGTTGTGCTTCATGTTTATCACCATACACTTCCGGCAGTTGTACATCCTGTCAAGGAGAGAGAGAGAGATGGTTGTTAGAGAGGGGGTTGTTAGAGAGGGGGTTGTTAGCGAGAAGGTTGTTAGCGAGATGATATGAAGAGTAACGCAGGGTAAGGCGTAGTCAATGTTCGTCCTGCATCTGGCATTTCCCATGGAAAATTGGGAATGAGGGAGGGAAGGAAAGGGGCAGGAATGGGAGGGAACGGGAGGGGAGGAGGGAACGGGAGGGGAGGAGGAAACGGGAGGGGAGGAGGGAAAGGGAGGGGAAGGGCAAGGCAGAGAAAGGAATGGGAGGGCAGGGAAAGCGTGGAAAGAGACTACACCTCCCCGACAATTGAAACTTTCCATAGAGAAAAAAAACACACAAAAAAACAAATAAAAAACAAACAAAACACCGCCACATGTTTAGCTTGGTTTAGTCAGATTCAATGACTTCCTTTCCCGACCTAACTGATCATGTTTTAATTGTTTTTTTGTTAGGGAGGGATGTTTAATTTTAAGTCCTACTTCATATTCCCACTCGAGGTCAACCTTCATCGATAACACACACCTGGATTGAGTAATTATGTAACCCCCCCCCCCCCACAAAGTACATTATTTAGTGTATATTATTATTTCATTTGTATTTTTCCTTCACTACTTTATCATTAATTATTTACGTTTTTTTTCCAATAAATAACCTACACAATAAATTTCCATTCTAGAGGAAAATTTTGCCCATTTTTCCCCAGCCGACACAAATATTTCATTAACACGAAGCGGCTTCATGCATATAAAATATTGGCCGAAATAAATTCATCCACACAAATTGTTTCCTTGCCACGAAATTGTTAAAATTGTTTCAACGTATAAAAAAAAAGCAGTACTCATTAACACAATATTTGATCAAGATAAAACAAGCTTTTCACTCGCCATAACACTACGCCACAAACCTCACTAACTGTTGAAAAATAGTACGAAATAAAATTAAAGTAATTATTTTTAATTTCACAACACTGATTAGTTTTTAATTAATTTTTTATTTTATTTTATTTTATTTCTTTTGCATTGTAATTTTATACAAATATATATAGTGTTTTTTTGCGTTTTGGGGTATTTTTTTCCTCCTCCTGTTCCCTAACCTTCCTTTTCCTTTCCTTGTCATATCCATTCTCCTCTCCTACTCTCTTTCCATTTCCATGCCTCCCTCCTCTCGCCCCTTCCTTTCTAAACTACTCCTTCCTCTCCCTCTCCACCCTTCCTCCCTCCTCTGTAAACCCCTCCCCACCCCTCCCTTCTCCTCCAACACCTAAGACTCACTTAAGTACTTCCTTGCCGTCACCTCAAGTGCCCCCCCCCCTCGTCCACCTAACACTCCAGCCTCCCGCCAAAACACTCACACCTTCTTTAATTATTTATTCATGGACTTTGACACCCGGAAGTTTACTCAGCGCGATACCCAGAAATAAATTCAAGATAAATCGGAAATAAACTTTAGCGTGTATGTCAAGATCAATCATAAATTTTTTATATTAAGATTTATATTTCTAATATATCACTTTTTTGTTAGTGTGTCGTTTATAAGTGAAGTCATAAATATATCAATTTTCATATATAAAACGTGTATTTTTTTTGTATGTATGTATGAATGTATGTATGTATGTATGTATGTATGTATGTATGTATGTAAACTCCACAACAGTCATGAATAAAGCAAATATTACGACAGGGGATAATTTACAGTTCGCTTAAAACTATATAAAACTCGACCAAGTGCTGATTTCTGACGAGTATCAAAACCTGGATGTGAATGGCTATAGCAGGCTGTCAGCAGTGAGAGGTAGGCGGTCAACACATGTACACGGGAGCACCTGGCGTAAGATAGTCCGATGTCTGCTTCCAGTTGGTGTTGTTTAGGTGTATTATCTCTCCTCACTAGCCACACACACATACTAGCCACACACACATACTAGCCACACACACATACTAGCCACACACACATACTCGCACCACAACATCACGCCTCCACGAACAAACACTGGCGGAGGACCTTACATACACACAGGTCAATTTAGGAGTAAAGTAGGTCAGCCGTTGGTGGTGACGACAACAACAGCTGTGACATCAACTACTGTAACGTCATCACCAATTACTGTGACGTCATCAACTACTGTGACGTCATCAACGACTGTGACGTAACCAACCCCACACACACACTCAAGCGTTGAGGAGGAGCGTAAATGTATGCGAAGTTTTATTGAAACAAGCTTGCTGCTAACGACGTTCTAAGCAAGACAAATCGAGTAGAGGAGGCATTGTTCCCCTGCACTCTGCCTGTTTTACATAATGGAATTACTCTCCCACTGCCATGGGTGCCGCCTCACCTCCCACGTACCGTGAGAGTGAATGTCTGGGAGAGTGAGTGTAAGGGACGAATGAAGGTGACAAAATAGGAGTCGTACATACTAATTAAATTACTCGCCTAGTAACATGGGTGCCGCCTCACCTCCCACGCACACACAGAGAGAGCGAGAGAGAGATATTGTAAACCAAGGATATTAGTCTCACTTCCACAGGCACACACTCTTCTACTAAGCATCGTGAGAGAGAGAGAGAGAGAGAGAGAGAGAGAGAGAGAGAGAGAGAGAGAGAGAGAGAGAGAGAGAGAGAGAGAGAGAGAGAGAGAGAGACCTGGAGTTATTAATATCATGGACAAAGGAGAGAGGAAAATTGAATGCAATAATCCAATTAAATTAATATACTACTACCATGGACCCGCTGCTATACACAACCAATGGCGGAGTGAGGTGTAGGAGGGCAAGGTAGAGGAGGTGGGTGAGGTAGAGGAGGTGGATGAGGTAGAGGTGGATGAGGTAGAGAGTGGAGTGAGGTGGAGGAGGTGGAGTGATGTGGAGAGGAATCAGGTGAGGTGGAGGAGGTGGGTGAGGTGGAGGAGGTGGGTGGCAGGTGGAGGTGGGTGAGGTGGAGGAGGTGGGTGAGGTGGGAGGTGGGTGAGGTAGAGGTGGATGAGGTGGGAGGTGGGTGAGGAGGTGGAGGAGGTGGGTGAGGAGGTGGAGGAGGTGGGTGAGGTGGAGGGTGAGGTGGAGGAGGGCGTGAGGTGGAGGAGGAGGAGCGTGAGGTGGAGGAGGAGGCGTGAGGTGGAGGACGAGGTGAGGTGGAGGACGAGGTGAGGTGGAGGAGGGCAGGGTGAGGTGGAGGTGAGGTGGAGGGAGGAGTGAGGTGGAGGTGAGGTGGAGGAGGAGGATGGGAGGTGGAGGAGGGTGACGTGCAGGAGGAGGGAGAGAGGTGGAGAGGTAGGATTCTGTCCCAGAGACGGTAGAAGTTCCGCCTCAGAAGACAATCAGATTCTGCCCAGGGGAATGATGGGATTCGCCTCAGAATACGACCAGGATTCCGTCCCAGAATAGGTTAGGATTCCTTACAACAGTAGGATTCCGTCCCGGAGACGGTAGGATTCCTCAGAAGACAGTAGATTCTGCCCAAGGAGACGGTAGGATTCCGCAGAAGCGCGGTAGGATTCCGTCCCAGAATAGGTTGGGATTCGCCCTGAAAACCGTGGATTAGTCCCAGAGAACGGTAGGATTCCGCCCCACAATAGGGTAGGATTCCGCCTAAAATACGGTAGAATTCTGCACCAGAAGACAGAAGGATTCCGCCTCAGAATACGGTAAGATTCTGCTACAGGATACGGTAGGATTCCGCCTCAGAATACGGTAGATATTCCGCCTCAATACGGTAGGATTCCACCCCAGAAGACGGTAGGATTCCGTCCCAAAATAGGGAAGGATTTTGCCCCAGAAGACGGTAGGATTCCGCTCCAGAACAGGGTAGGATAATTGCCCCAGAATAGGGTAGGATTCTCCCCCACAATTGGGGAGGATACCGCCTAAAATACGGTAGGATTCTGCCACCGGAGACGGTAGGATTCCGCCTCAGAATATGGTAGGAATCCGCCACAGAAGACGGTAGGATTCCGGCCGAGAATTGAGTAGGATTCTGCCCAAGAAGACGATAAGATTCCGTCCAAGAATACGGTAGGATTCCCGTCCCAAAATAGGGTAGGATTTTGCCCCAGAAGACGGGAGGATTCCGCTCCAGAATACGGTAGGATTCCGTCCCAGAAGACGGTAGGATACCGCCCCAGAATAGGGCAGCATTCCGCCCCACAATAGGGTAGGATTCCACGTAAGATACTAGGATTCTGCCACAGGAGACAGTAGGATTCCGCCTCAGAATACGGTTAGGATTCCGCTGCAGGATACGGTAGCATTCAGCCACAGAATACGGTAGGATTCCGCCTGAGAATACGGTAGGATTCCTCCTCAGAATACGGTCGGATTCCGCCTGAGAATACGGTAGGATTCTGCGCCAGATGACGGTAGGATTCTACCCCACAATAGGGTAGGATTCCGCCTAAAATACAGTAGGATTCTGCCACAGGAGACAGTAGGATTCCGCCACAGAATACGGTTAGGATTCCGCTGCAGGATACGGTAGCATTCCGCCGCAGAATACGGTAGGATTCCTCCTCAGAATACGGTAGGATTCCGCCTAAGAATACGGTAGGATTCTGCCCCAGAAGACGGTAGGATTCCGTCCGAGAACTGGGTAGGATTCTGCCCTAGAAGAGGGCAGGATTCCGCCCCAGAATACGGTAGGATTCCGCCCCAGAATATGACAGGATTCCACCCCAGAACAGGGTAGGATTTCGCCTAAAATACGGTAGGATTCTGCCCCAGGAGACGGTAGGATTCCGCCCCAGAATACGGTAGGATTTCGCCCCAGAATATGGTAGGATTCCGCTGCAGGAGACGGTAGGATTCCGCCTGAGAAGACGGTAGGATTCCGCCGCAAAATTCGATAGTATTCGGCCCCAGAAGACGGTAGGATTCGGCCCAAGAATATGGAAGGATTCCGCTCCAGGAGACGGTAGGATTCCGCCCCAGAATAGGGTAGGATTCCGCCTCAGAACAGGGTAGGATTCCGCCCCAGAATAGGGTAGGATTCCGTCTAAA